AAGGGATCCACGACAATGGCTCTGGGTTCATCTAATCCAGAGCTGAAAAGGGTGAGTCTGTTAGAACCATCAAGTTCGGCCACTTCAATCATGTTGTAGCCTCCATCCGTCCAGTACATTTTTTTGCCGACCCAGTCAATAGCAATGCCATCAGGGGTGTGAACATGGGACACAATCTGGTCGCAGTGAACTACAATAGAGTGATGACACACTGATATTAAATATTGGAGTATTGGGTAAGTCGGTCAGTTTTGACGACCACCATCTCATGTATTCTAAATGCAAATACTTCACTTACTGATATTCCACTCCTAGCAGTAGGCAGAATGTTTGTTACATGAACCTAGTTTAACAGCCTTTGCTCTCAATTTTCTATAGTTCAGTGGTAGAGCATCTGGACTAGTAACCAGGTCTCAGGTTCAACTCCTAGCTAGAAAACTTGGAATTCTTTTATCAAGTATTCTTGAGTCATTTTTGACAATATTTAAAGCTAGGGATGCTAGATTACTGTTTGTAGGCTGGGTGGGAGTAGCAAACACACATTTTGAACATGATTGGGACGATTGTCTGTGCAAATTTTAAGGTGCCAAACAACCCCTTTTAGCCGAAGAGTTAAATCCCCTCCTCCATGTTCTCTAGCTCAAACGCAAAGAGAAAAAATAACACTCAGACAGGGGTTTAGTATTTTGAACTACCTGCATCTGATCCTGGGCTTGGAATGTGAGCACGGCAAATCTTCTCTTCTCTCACATCTGTCCAGTACACATAGTTGTTGTAGTAGTCATAGTCAAGACCAACAATACCTTTCTGATCAACGACAACATCAGTGTACTCGTTGGAGCTAGCATCCAAGGGAAGCTTGCGAATGCTGTGTTGTGTTGAAAACAGCAGGTATGGTGTATGCTCTGTGTGTAGAGGAAAGAAAACAAACTTCATTTGTGATGTGTGATATGCAAACACTGTTTGGTAGTTACGATTATTTAACAAATAAACAACCCACTTAAAACATTTAGAAGTACATGTAGCAGTTTAATATTCTAATGCCTGCCTAAGTAAACAAATTTAAAAGCCTAGGCCGACTTGGTACTGTCAGGTCTGTGATACTTTCTCTTTGTATCAAATTATAAAGTGTTACCTAAAGCTCTGCACGTCTTTTTATCAGGCTCAAAACCATAACCTGGTTTACAAGTACACTTGTAGCTTCCTTTTGTGTTGGTACACTGTTGAGTGCACTGTCCATACACATCACACTCATTGATATCTGAAAAATGCAATTTGTAATTCAATGCCATGCACATGTTTTTGGAATAAGATAAGTTTGGTTGGAGGAAAGGGGAAGGATGGAGACTCCCATATCACAAGGTAAATCCCAGATTTTGGTCTCATGCAATTAGGATGTTCAGGATGAAACCCCAATATTTAGGGTGCAGTCAAGGAAATAATTAAAAAACCACTGTCCTTTCCATTTTAAGTGGTGTCTTTTAGGGGTCAAATAAGGCTCTAGCCACACCCAGATTGGCCTCTTTTACGGGTTTAATTCACATTTTACGGCAATTATCCCCAACATTTTCTTTTTTAGTAACTCTGGCATTGTTTAACTGAAGTTAAGTGTTTTCAACAAGTATGGAAGAAACTTCACACCTGAAGTTCCCTAAACAAAGAATCCAAGTTTGAAGTAGCTATGTGACTGTACATATTTTTGGGGGGAACATCACAAAATGATACCAACTGTGTTGGACTTTGGGCATGGAAGTTCGTGAACTTCAAATGACTGACAACGAATCATACAATGATTGACACCTTAACTTAGATCATGTTTTGTCAAGGCATGTTCATGCTTACATGCAGACGATGACAAATTGCTTTCAAAAAAAATGACAACATTTAAGTGACATACCATCACATGTTCTCTTGTTTTCAGCCAAGGTGAAGCCAGTATGGCAAGAGCATTTATAGCCAAATGTTAAATCAGTACAAGTATGTTGGCAGTGGCCATTATGGTCCATACATTCATTAATATCTGAAAAAGTACACAAAAACAGATCACAATAACCACATCAAGCACTGCTTGTTTATAAACAATTCACATATGCTAAGAGGATAATATTAACCAATCTAAGTAATTGCTGTTTAATTATAAATAACACTTCTAAGTATTTTGCAGAACTCAAAAGTGCACTTAACTTACCGCAATTCTGCTCTTCATCCTCTCCATTGGGGCAGTCTTTTCTTCCATTGCAGAGTTTGGTTTTTTCAATGCATAATTGTGTGCTTCCACACTTGAATTCTTCCTCTGTACATGTAACTATTACAGAAAATCAATTATTTACTGTCTTGTTTTCCTTTCTCTTCTTTTCCTCCGAGAATTCAAAATAGTGGGGCTCAACTACAATGAAATACTACCACATATAAAACTTAAGAGTTGGAGGCTCTTCAAAAAAACAAGTTTTAAAAAGTAGTAAAATTAAAACTACCTTTTAAGATTGTGCATGACTGTATGAACCACAGAATATTACCACTGAATGTATATATTACTTAAAACCAAATTAGTTGCCGCTTCTGATTAATTGCTCAAAGCAACTAACCAAGCTATTTACTCACCACAATTTGACTCATCTGAGCCATCCTCACAGTCTGATGTCCCGTCACATTTTTTAGAGCTTAGTATACAACCTCCACCATGACAAGAAAACTGGTCACTGGTGCAGTTTCCAACAGCTAAATCAACAAAAACATGCTACTTGTCAGTTTAATTATGCTCATGTCAAATCACTAACCCACTGAGAGAAAAAAAATATATTTAAATAATATACCTCTTACTAACTGAGTTCGAGGTCTGTACTGTAAGTTACAGACCAAGTTTTTACCCCTTGATTTATGGCCAAGCTAGAAGCATGAGGGACATAAATTGAAGGGAGAAAAATGAGGATCCACAAGTTACAGCATGGACTGAGAAGATGAGGTTAGTAAGATATTTATTATATCTCTACAGCGCGTCTGACAGGTTCAGAAACTATTTTTATTTGCATGGAATGGCTTCAAATTTGTGACGCATGTCAAAAGCAAAACAAGTCAATTTCACATCATTGTAACATTGTCAGCATGTGTTAATACACAAGTTAAAGTAAAAGAAAGTTTTAAATTTTTACTTGCTTTGAAAGTTAAGAACACTTGGCAATAATTCACAAAATGTTGTGGCCACAAAAAACAGCTTTAAATTTTAGTGGGCAGTACATTAAAATACAGCCCTTAAATTGACCAATCACAGTGTGCAAATAAGATTGAGAGTATTAATAAATCTTAAGATCCCCTCAATTGTCCCCAGGAGTTTAAATGGGGTACGACAAGTGCATTAACCATTGGCAAGACATACATAGTCATGCCTAATGGCAACCCTGAACTTAAATGGAAGACGTGTTGTTTACTACCTGTAATAATGTGAAATAATTTTAAACCCTATTAAAGGAACCTTGGTCATAACAAGCCAGGTATATATTGTTTTTATTTTTTCTGATGGAATTTATAACAATATACAAGAAAATATTCTTTGACTTTGCGTAAATCATCTATACTTACGGCATCCTTGCTCATCAGATCCATCAGGACAATCATCTTCTCCATCACACCGCCACTGGCCTTGAATGCAGTGTCCCTCAGCACAGTGAAACATTTTTGCCGAGCAAGTGGATGGACGAGATGTTACATTTACACAACCAGCTTCATCTGACCTATCAGGACAGTCTTCATCTCCATCACATCTCCAGCGCCTTGGAATACACTGCTGATTTCCACAAGTAAACTGGTTTGAACTGCAAGTTTTGGAAGCTGACATTGGGAGTGAAAAATTAACAGAAATTGGTGAGGTACAATATATTTAAACCGTGAAACAGAATGCCAGAACAAACTTGGCAAGAACATGTACCTCTCAGATACACAAATGTTATTAAACTAATGCATGTAAATTGTACAATCAATAACCAATTACATGTATATATAGAACAAAAATAATGAAATCATTAACATTTTCTCTTATTACTTAAAACTGCATAATAAACTCAGGTACTTTGTGTGATCTTTGACTGTTATTTCTGGCAAATAAATTATGTATACTTTTAAACCTTACATTTAAAACTAAGCCTAATAAGTTGTAAATTGGTATGTGTGTGGACAACAACTATCACCTTCACTTCAACAGTTTAACTGCCAACAGTTAAATCAATTGGCTATTAAATGTACAACTTTATTGTACATGACAGGTCCACTCACAAAAAGCCCCCGTACAAATCACAAGTCTTCCTTGTATACCCACGAATTACGAGTTCATTATTAGACAATAAGTACTCACATTATATAACCATCTATTCATTTACAACTTGTGTGAGCATTACATTAAAATATAGCAGCCATACACTACATCATCTTTGTTACAGAATAAACTGTTTCTTACTGCACTGCTGGGGATCTTCATCAGAGTTATCTCCACAGTCATTATCTCCATCACATAACCAAGACTGAGACACACAATGGCCATTGGAACATGAAAAGTCATTAGAAGAACACGTTGCCTGCTCTGAGAAAGAAAATACAATAAAAAATATTCAGAGTTTTACACAGTCTTTCAACCTTCCTCTAAATTGCTGGCACATTAAAGGTTATTGGTGCTATATAGCTGTGAAACAACAACTGATCTCTTTAGACTTCATTTCTTAACCTGAGCAAAAGTCTTAATGAAAAGTTCTGAAAGCAACAATTATCCCTCAGAAGTTGCAACAATCTTATAGGCAGTGATAGAAAAATGCACAGTGGAATTTTAGCAATAATGTAGTTCCTTAAAACTATATTGTGTTAGCCTGTAAAAGTAGGAGTTAAAAACAAAGCTTATGAATGTCAGAAACTTATCAAGTATGAGTTGGTTTCAATGACTATATAAAATTTTTAACCAAAAATTTTAAACTTCTCATTAGTTAATAGATAATAATTTTTTTTTAATACCTCCACCGGCTTCAGCACACTGAGCCTCATCTGAATTATCCCCACAGTCATTCTGTCCATCACATTTCCATTGGGCTGAGATGCATTTGCCATTGTCACATTTAAGTTCTTTGGGTCCACATGTTATGTTTTGATCTGAAAAGTATGCAATGCAGTACTATTAAAAAATGGATTGTTGTTTACAAAATATCCATACCTACTCTACAGAGGTTTGCTACTGGGAAGTTTCCATGAGGAAGCTTTAGTAAGCTCATTCAAGCTTTAATAATTTGCAAGCACGTAAAAGAAAAAGTCAGGATTTATCAATATTTCAAGGTATCAGCATGAACACAGAAATCAAATCTGCCGAAGTAAATTTTTTTGCATTTCCTTTGGTGAAATTCCATTAAATTTAACATAATAGTTGGGCTTTGTTTTTGTTATTTTTTTGTGAGGGGAAAGGGGGGGAATCTATATGACAAGTATTTGTGTAGAAAAAAAAAGACAAAAATTTTCAAAAACAGAAGACTGTATAACCACTGAAAGAAATGGGAGAAATTGTTTAAGCCCCATATAAAAAATTACTGAACATTACTAAAAATCTTATTTGCTTGAGCCATTTTAACGTGAGACAAAAAATATGGATGGCTGTACTTGCAGAACAGTACTTCATTACTGCTTTTCACATAATTTTATTTTGATCAGTTTGAGTGAACTGGAAGTAAAAGCAAATACAAAAAGCCACCTTTCCAATTATTACCCTATCATACACCCAGATATGTCCACGAGTGCATGCTAATGAGATGCAGGATCTTTATGATAAGCATCACAATTTAAAAAAGTCACCAAAACACACATAATAATGTCAAATATGAAGTAGAGTCAAACATCTGGTTGTGACCATGTCTCGTAAGCGGCCACCTCTACTCAGCGATCAGTTTTCCAAAATACCAAAAGTTTCCATGCCAAATCACTCTATTTGGAAACTCTTGTAGGCGACCAGCTCCCGTAAACGACCACGACCACTATTAGAGCTAGAAGTTTGAAATTTTCTCTTGTTTCTAATCTCCCATAAACGACCACTTAACAGATAATAGAGCGGAAACTGGATAAGGTGTTGTGACATTGTCGTGTTCCTGGATAGTACAGGGGATGGAAATTTCTTGATGGGAAGAATCAGATTTTTTCTCAAAATTAACTTTTCCAATGAATAAGGCATTTAAAACATGGGGTAAGTCTCTGCAGTTACCATATGCTAATGAGGCAAAATTTTGACCCAGTATGGTCTAAGCTCTCATAAGCAACCACCTCCCGTAAACGACCACCTAGGCTTGACATTTTGGGTGGTCACTTACGGAAGGTTCAACTGTAGTACAGGGTTTCTTAATTTAATGCTTTCACCACGAGGGCAACTGGTTTTCACAGGCGGGCAAAACTATTCAATTTAAATTTTTTTATAAAAAAAACTTTCAACTAGGTGGTGAAACCAGCTGGGCAAAATTGTCTTCACAGCCGGTAAATCTGCCCAGTGCCCGGCCCTTAATGAAGCCCTTGGTAATATGAAAATGACACTTTTTGATGCTTCTCATAAGGAGCATGCATCTCATTAACATTCAATACTGGACATACGTGACATGTACCACACCATAAACGATCACCCTATATGGAGCTTAATCATAAAAATATAAAATTGTCAGTATACCACAGTTAAGCTCATCTGATCCATCAGAGCAGTCATCATCTCTATCACACTTCCACAGCATTGAGATGCACCGTCCATTTGCACACTGAAATTGATCGTGACGACAGGTTGGGGGAGCTATGCAAACAAACAAAAGCAACTTAAATATATTTTCACTGTACATGTTGTTGATGTTAAACTAAATATAACTTAAGATAACCTAAAAATATAATACAATATATAATAACTGTCTAATATGTCACCTTGTGAAGAATATTTACTAACAAGATTGACGTATTTAGTTCTGTTAGTTGCACGCTCAGTGGAGCTACATAGTAACATATCACTAGTTTTGAGCTTTTTTTTTGGTTTATTCTTCAAACAAAAATCCCTCATATATTGGCATAATAGCTAAACTTTACATGTTTGAAATGGATAGCTGTAAATTAAAATAAGCTCTATTGTGGTGTATGCAGATGGCAAAAAAATAGAATAACAATAATTATTGCATTTCCACTGTTTAGGGGTGACAAGTTATTTTGGTGCAGTGTCTGTAGTATACTGTTTGGTCTCTGACTACTGACATGGGAGTCCATCTTTACACATGCTTAAAATTTACAGTCTTCCATCTGGGCCATAAACTGGTGAACAACTTGGAAAAACAGGTTGAAAGGAACATAATTTGTAATTTCCTCAATTTTTAGGTCAGAACCTGTTTTCTTGTAGTGTGTTGTTTGGTCCTTGTTCTAATTCTTGTGTTCCCATTATGAAGGCAGAAATGCAATTTTTAACTAAGTTTGTTTACATCTGTAACACATGAAGTTATGACAAGATTGCTTTGATGTAATAGGGCGTATGCAAATACTTCCTCTGCCTCTGATCATAACAGGAGATCAGCCGGGATCAACTTGATCACTAACATTCTTGAATTTCTACTTACGACATCCATCTTCATCAGAATTATCCCCACAGTCATCTTCTCCATCACATTTCCAACGAGCAACAATGCACTTTTCATTAGTACAGGAAAACTGATTGTCAGCACAACGGTAAGGACGTTCTGTTGATACAACAATGTGCGAGNTATTTAGTTCTGTTAGTTGCACGCTCAGTGGAGCTACATAGTAACATATCACTAGTTTTTTGAGTTTTTTCTGGTTTATTCTTCAAACAAAAATCCCTCATATATTGGCATAATAGCTAAACTTTACACGTTTGAAATGGATAGCTGTAAATTAAAATAAGCTCTTTTCTGGTGTATGAAGATGGCAAAAAAATAGAATAATAATTATCGCATTTCCTCTGTTTAGGAGTGACAAGTTATTTTGGTGCAGTGTCTGTAGTATACTGTTTGGTCTCTGACTACTGGCGTGGGAGTCCATCTTTACACATGCTCAAAATTTACAGTCTTCCATCTGGGCCATAAACTGGTAAACAGCTTGGAAACATAGGTTGAAAGGGACATAATTTGTAATTTCCTCAATGTTTAGAGGTCACAACCTGTTTTCTTGTAGTGTATTGTTTGGTCCTTGTTCTAATTCTTGTGTTCCCATTATGAAGGAAGAAATGCAATTTTAAACTAAGTTTGTTTACATCTGTAACACATGAAGTTATGACAAGATTGCTTTGATGTAACAGGGCATATGCAAATGCTTCCTCTGCCTCTGATCATAACAGGAGATCAGGCGGGATCAACTTGATCACTAACATTCTTGAAATAATTTCTACTTACGACATCCATCTTCATCAGAATTGTCCCCACAGTCATCTTCTCCATCACATTTCCAACGAGCAACAATGCACTTTTCATTAGTACAGGAAAACTGATTGTCAGCACAACGGTAAGGACGTTCTGTTGATACAACAATGTGCGAGAGCTCGTGGTGAACTGGGAACAAGTCGCCTCAGTTCCCTACCGGGAATTTCTCCCGAGATCCGAGAGACAAGTGTTTTTTCTTGTTTGAAAATGGGAAAAATCACATTTTGTAACGCTGAATAAACTCTACCTGGGAGTCTAGTATACAGAGGTTCAGAATTAACGAAATGACAACCGAGCAATCATATGTCAGTCTCTGACTCACAAGAGAAATCAAACATTCCAACTATGTCTTGCCGTCTGAATTCAAAAGAGGCTTTTATCCACAGGTACCCGTTAAATAAAGAAGAATCAAGATCATAAATCACACTGAAACTTTGACCTCGGTATTTTGTAATCTTCAATAATCAATAGCCTCTTGGCTGATGCAACAGCACGCGTAAGACAGATGTATGGACAGTGACTTCCTCTGATCCGTAACAGACAGATCGAAAGTCAAAACACGTTGGCGGAAGTCTTCATGATAAAGGAAAGGAAACTAAAAATGGAAGAATATTTCCATTTCAGTAAGCATGGGAAAAAAGCGAACGAGGTGTATATCAATCTCTGAAGAAAGACTCGCGAGTCGCTACCTCGCCCTTTTGCGCCAATATTTCAAACGATGGTCCCCCAAAATGTAAACGCGACAATGACGATCAAATATTCCAGCGATTTTAATAGGTTGTCTAAAAAAGACAATGCGGCGCGCCAAGTTTACTTAACACACCTTGCAAAATAGCCGCGAACAACTTTCACACGCTCGAGAGTCTCTTTTCTCGTTTCATTTGTGAGATTGTACTGCCTTCACAACGACCGTACATCGACAAAAAGATAAAATCATTCCCACGGAATGGCAAAGGACTTGAGAAAGCCCAATATTGACCTACTTACGAAAGGATGATGAAACACCCCGTGAAACACTTTCATCAATGAAATACGCAGAACGCCCACGTTGTTATCAATTTGCATAAAACCTTCACTACAATAGTCACCACGACACTTTGCTTTACTCAAGAAATAGTATATCGTTCAAAAAATTTCAGCAATGTGCGACTAACAGATAACCTCTACACGAACAGTGTCCTTAGTTAGAAGATTTTGGATTTTTTAATAAATAAAAATGGTCCGAAAATATAAGCTTATATCGATAAAAGTAAACAACGACAGCTTTTCTACGCATCAATGAAAAAGCCGCCAAAATTTAGCGCGAAGAATTTATTTCACTGTAAAAAGTTTGAAAAGGAAGAATATGCTTATAACAAGGCGAATTTGATTTTAAAATAAATCTTAATATTAAGACTTAACTGGAGTTGCAATTTGATACAAAGGAGTAAACGATGTCTACACGTTCCATGAAATACGCGCCATCTCCCCGACAGCGCTTACGAGAAAATACTCCTGCTTTTATAACAAGTCAAAAGACTTAATTCCAAGAAAATGTTGTCCTTTTAAAACAAAACTACGATACAGCAGGTTTTCGAATAGGTTGTTGTTACAACACGTGGTCTCAAAGCTTTCTTCTTAGTACTTACCAGAGTCTGCGTTCGTAGTTGTGAGACACACAAGGCAAGCTGCCACGCACCAACATACCGCCTTGGTCAGAGGAAGCATTTTACTTTTCGCTTCACAATAACGGGAAAAAGACCGTATGTACTCCTTCTCAAATTTACGCCTAGGTAGATACTAGAAAAAAGGGTTTGCACTGTTGAATTCGTTTTAAGTCAAGCCAACCACGTTGGACTTTGGAATGAATACCGGTAAAACTGATGAATGAATGAAAAACTCAATGTTTTGTTGACAAATTGAACGCATGCTCACGAGCGTGGCGCGGGAAAACTGACGCAATACTTGTCATGTGACGGAGTGGGCTAAGTCCCCGTGGCTAAATCAACCGGTTCGCTGACTGTATGACCAGAAATATTCCTACAAAACAGGGAAAAACGAACTTAAAAACTGTAAAAAGATATTCGGGGTTTGACTATACAGTCTTCGATCCTTTGCTGTTGTTTTGTTGTCGTCTCCAATACCCCAGTTGTCGCAGGCACATTTTAGATGGCCGGCTGTGTTACGCTGCTACGCGAGCGTGCTTCCTGAGGGATTCTTTTGACGGGAAAATAAAATTTCTTAAAATAAAAAAAAATAACGTAAGAAGACCCTTAGAAACGCGCTTATATTATTTTAGCGTTCAGAGAATTCACGAGTTAGCAGATCGTTGAAGAAGTTAAACAAATATAACCATTAGCCGTCGGGATTGCGATTAGTCCACCATCCCCTCTCCCTTGGGNATGACACTTTTTGATGCTTCTCATAAGGAGCATGCATCTCATTAACATTCAATACTGGACATACGTGACATGTACCACACCATAAACGATCACCCTATATGGAGCTTAATCATAAAAATATAAAATTGTCAGTATACCACAGTTAAGCTCATCTGATCCATCAGAGCAGTCATCATCTCTATCACACTTCCACAGCATTGAGATGCACCGTCCATTTGCACACTGAAATTGATCGTGACGACAGGTTGGGGGAGCTATGCAAACAAACAAAAGCAACTTAAATATATTTTCACTGTACATGTTGTTGATGTTAAACTAAATATAACTTAAGATAACCTAAAAATATAATACAATATATAATAACTGTCTAATATGTCACCTTGTGAAGAATATTTACTAACAAGATTGACGTATTTAGTTCTGTTAGTTGCACGCTCAGTGGAGCTACATAGTAACATATCACTAGTTTTGAGCTTTTTTTTTGGTTTATTCTTCAAACAAAAATCCCTCATATATTGGCATAATAGCTAAACTTTACATGTTTGAAATGGATAGCTGTAAATTAAAATAAGCTCTATTGTGGTGTATGCAGATGGCAAAAAAATAGAATAACAATAATTATTGCATTTCCACTGTTTAGGGGTGACAAGTTATTTTGGTGCAGTGTCTGTAGTATACTGTTTGGTCTCTGACTACTGACATGGGAGTCCATCTTTACACATGCTTAAAATTTACAGTCTTCCATCTGGGCCATAAACTGGTGAACAACTTGGAAAAACAGGTTGAAAGGAACATAATTTGTAATTTCCTCAATTTTTAGGTCAGAACCTGTTTTCTTGTAGTGTGTTGTTTGGTCCTTGTTCTAATTCTTGTGTTCCCATTATGAAGGCAGAAATGCAATTTTTAACTAAGTTTGTTTACATCTGTAACACATGAAGTTATGACAAGATTGCTTTGATGTAATAGGGCGTATGCAAATACTTCCTCTGCCTCTGATCATAACAGGAGATCAGCCGGGATCAACTTGATCACTAACATTCTTGAATTTCTACTTACGACATCCATCTTCATCAGAATTATCCCCACAGTCATCTTCTCCATCACATTTCCAACGAGCAACAATGCACTTTTCATTAGTACAGGAAAACTGATTGTCAGCACAACGGTAAGGACGTTCTGTTGATACAACAATGTGCGAGAGCTCGTGGTGAACTGGGAACAAGTCGCCTCAGTTCCCTACCGGGAATTTCTCCCGAGATCCGAGAGACAAGTGTTTTTTCTTGTTTGAAAATGGGAAAAATCACATTTTGTAACGCTGAATAAACTCTACCTGGGAGTCTAGTATACAGAGGTTCAGAATTAACGAAATGACAACCGAGCAATCATATGTCAGTCTCTGACTCACAAGAGAAATCAAACATTCCAACTATGTCTTGCCGTCTGAATTCAAAAGAGGCTTTTATCCACAGGTACCCGTTAAATAAAGAAGAATCAAGATCATAAATCACACTGAAACTTTGACCTCGGTATTTTGTAATCTTCAATAATCAATAGCCTCTTGGCTGATGCAACAGCACGCGTAAGACAGATGTATGGACAGTGACTTCCTCTGATCCGTAACAGACAGATCGAAAGTCAAAACACGTTGGCGGAAGTCTTCATGATAAAGGAAAGGAAACTAAAAATGGAAGAATATTTCCATTTCAGTAAGCATGGGAAAAAAGCGAACGAGGTGTATATCAATCTCTGAAGAAAGACTCGCGAGTCGCTACCTCGCCCTTTTGCGCCAATATTTCAAACGATGGTCCCCCAAAATGTAAACGCGACAATGACGATCAAATATTCCAGCGATTTTAATAGGTTGTCTAAAAAAGACAATGCGGCGCGCCAAGTTTACTTAACACACCTTGCAAAATAGCCGCGAACAACTTTCACACGCTCGAGAGTCTCTTTTCTCGTTTCATTTGTGAGATTGTACTGCCTTCACAACGACCGTACATCGACAAAAAGATAAAATCATTCCCACGGAATGGCAAAGGACTTGAGAAAGCCCAATATTGACCTACTTACGAAAGGATGATGAAACACCCCGTGAAACACTTTCATCAATGAAATACGCAGAACGCCCACGTTGTTATCAATTTGCATAAAACCTTCACTACAATAGTCACCACGACACTTTGCTTTACTCAAGAAATAGTATATCGTTCAAAAAATTTCAGCAATGTGCGACTAACAGATAACCTCTACACGAACAGTGTCCTTAGTTAGAAGATTTTGGATTTTTTAATAAATAAAAATGGTCCGAAAATATAAGCTTATATCGATAAAAGTAAACAACGACAGCTTTTCTACGCATCAATGAAAAAGCCGCCAAAATTTAGCGCGAAGAATTTATTTCACTGTAAAAAGTTTGAAAAGGAAGAATATGCTTATAACAAGGCGAATTTGATTTTAAAATAAATCTTAATATTAAGACTTAACTGGAGTTGCAATTTGATACAAAGGAGTAAACGATGTCTACACGTTCCATGAAATACGCGCCATCTCCCCGACAGCGCTTACGAGAAAATACTCCTGCTTTTATAACAAGTCAAAAGACTTAATTCCAAGAAAATGTTGTCCTTTTAAAACAAAACTACGATACAGCAGGTTTTCGAATAGGTTGTTGTTACAACACGTGGTCTCAAAGCTTTCTTCTTAGTACTTACCAGAGTCTGCGTTCGTAGTTGTGAGACACACAAGGCAAGCTGCCACGCACCAACATACCGCCTTGGTCAGAGGAAGCATTTTACTTTTCGCTTCACAATAACGGGAAAAAGACCGTATGTACTCCTTCTCAAATTTACGCCTAGGTAGATACTAGAAAAAAGGGTTTGCACTGTTGAATTCGTTTTAAGTCAAGCCAACCACGTTGGACTTTGGAATGAATACCGGTAAAACTGATGAATGAATGAAAAACTCAATGTTTTGTTGACAAATTGAACGCATGCTCACGAGCGTGGCGCGGGAAAACTGACGCAATACTTGTCATGTGACGGAGTGGGCTAAGTCCCCGTGGCTAAATCAACCGGTTCGCTGACTGTATGACCAGAAATATTCCTACAAAACAGGGAAAAACGAACTTAAAAACTGTAAAAAGATATTCGGGGTTTGACTATACAGTCTTCGATCCTTTGCTGTTGTTTTGTTGTCGTCTCCAATACCCCAGTTGTCGCAGGCACATTTTAGATGGCCGGCTGTGTTACGCTGCTACGCGAGCGTGCTTCCTGAGGGATTCTTTTGACGGGAAAATAAAATTTCTTAAAATAAAAAAAAATAACGTAAGAAGACCCTTAGAAACGCGCTTATATTATTTTAGCGTTCAGAGAATTCACGAGTTAGCAGATCGTTGAAGAAGTTAAACAAATATAACCATTAGCCGTCGGGATTGCGATTAGTCCACCATCCCCTCTCCCTTGGGCTTGGTTTGGCACACGAGTTGATTAACTTATACTTGTTTCACTAGAATTTGGAACGATCGTGAGAAAAACAAGACTATTTTTTCTAAATTTTTCCCCAGTGGAAACTGAAATAGCGTGGAACTGTTTTCAGGTATCAAGGTCGACGTGCTGTAAGGAAGTATTGCTTGAAACTGCGTCACAGCGTGGTTAATATTAGCCCCGGTTTCAGTGGAGGCGAACGTAAGTTCTAATATATCTCTCGAGTTGATAGTTTTCCGTCAGCCGTCAACCGGATGTGAAATCTTTTACTGGAACACCTGACTAACTATCAAAACAAATTTTCTCTATTCTTAGATCTTCTTAACTTCTGACAGACGGCTTAATTACGAAAAGAGAGAATATCGCCGAGTTCTTGAAACATGCCGTGAATCATTTTCCTTATAATTGGTTGCTTTGAATATTTAATACCTTAATTGGCCGGCTAAACGACGACACAAAACTACTCAACGGTTTCGAAAGAGCGCCAACATCTTCGAGACGATTAAAAATGAACGGCTAAATAGAGTCAAATCTCGATATCTTGTAGTTACTTTTGTAATTTCATAGCCTCTCCTATGATGAAGGCGGACGCCATGGATGCCAACTCAGTTAGCGGTTGATTTCCAATCCACCAGGCTACTCTATGACAATTATGCACTTCGTTGTTCAGTTCGAAGCTGTTTAGAAGTCACCAAGTCACCAATTTATCTCCCAACCTTAAGGAAAAATTTCGGCGGAATTCGATTTTGGCAAACCCCTTCGGGTGTAGACATAGCATTAAGCGTGTTACTTTCACATCAGTCGTAGATGATTAATATTGATGGCGATAGTTCTTGAAGGTTCCTCACCGGCTAAAACACCAAAAAAATCAACGTTCTCATAAAAGCCACATGCTAGTATATTCTGCTCTCTGTTTCCACTCGAAGCGTTTTAGTACATTGTAAGCATTATTCATACCATTGACTTCCTTTGCATAAAACGGTAATTCGACAATAAGACTCATAAAGACAATACATTCTGTCCGTGAAATGCCCCCATCAACCACAAAATCCATGATTTGAGTAAGTTCCGCGCCGTTCAAAGGCGGTCTCGTGTTTGTTTACATGCTCGTCATTGTTCAAATCTTGGCCGGGAATGTTTCCTATGCGAGCTATTTTTTTTGTTTAACTTGTCGTAACCCCAAAAAAGGACGGGAAATTGTTCCATATTCAGAAGACATCATTGTCTTTCTTAAAACGGCTTAAAATAGTATGCGTCGTGAACGAAGTTGTTAGCCTTATGTCAATCAGGAGTTTCGAAACGTCTGGAAATCAGTAGAACCTCGTGTATGTTAGCGTTTTCGATATAGTAAAAAAAAAGTACAATCGTTGAACGAAAAGAGGCGACGTTGTACTCAGTTTATGGTAGAAGTTTCTTCGCTGGAGTTGATAGAACCGGAAACTCTGGTCAGGGCAAAAATAAGCAGTGTAAATATTTAACAGCATAGATAATTCGCCGTGAGTTCCTGCGTCAAATTTATAAATTTACAATTGTAATTTCTTTACTGGGATGAATGGGTCCTTTCCGCGTACCATCGTAAATTATCTTCTCGCCTCGTGACTTTTTGTACGTCATCACGATCTTCATTACGTCATTATGACTCAAACAAGGTTTTTGCGTCGGTGAGTTTGACGCGAACAGAGATTTACTTTTTCGCTTATTGCTCTGGGCACTTCAGCTAAGTACTAGTAACAATAAGGCTGTTTGCGCCGTCAGCGTGATACCCAAATTACTAAAACATTTAACGTTGCCGGAGGCCTTTGAGGCTTGATATTGTCATACAGTGGCTTCCCGCTTTTTTCCGGTCATACAAGTACAACGGGAAACACCTGTGGCCAGGGACAGATCATAAGCAATAGATGTCTTATCAGAATGGACTACAAGGATGGTTCAGTGGTATTGCCTGGCACGAAAGGTTTATAATAATGAGGGTTATTTTTTTAAAGTTTTGTGTCTGCAGGCAGCTGATCACGATTGCTATCTGGAGCTGTCAGCTCTGGTTAGATGTAAATCTTATCCAAAGGATTGAAGATTTCAGATTAAGCCTGATGCAAAGCACATGCCGGTTGCTATCAATATTTCATTCGGACATCATGGTACCACGTGTTTTAGGGGCGCACAAGCAGGGCACAAGCAGATTGCTATTCATCCCAGAACACCCCAGCTATATGCGCTAAATCATCACAGAAGCCATATTGATGACACAAAACAACGAACCGGCGGTGTTACGAAAAATTGTCTCAGTCAATTTCTAGAACAATCTAGAACCGGAAGTCATTAAGCCGTGACCAATTTCTGTAAGAACATTCCAGAACATTCTGATCCTTATGTAATTACTCAGATTAGAAATTGTGTCAAACTACTTAATTTAGTTCCAAGTAGAAGTTTCTAGAACTTTAAGCCTCATGTATATTAGAGCGAGAGGTTCTGCTGTAAAAGAGCTTGATTCAAATTTGAAGAAGCTTAGTGCTGTAAATTCGTGAAGTTACCTTACGGAAATAAATTAGTTTGTTGCTGTTACCGGCGATCCTGAGTTCTGTCTGGGAACAACCCTGCTCTACAACGATACTCGTAATAGGCGGTCATGTTGGTGTCCCCCCGGGCGTCCCAAGAAAATCCTGTGAGTGTTGAACTCGTTTCTTACCCAAACACTTTCTTTTGTTCCAATGAACTTGTACGGCTGCTGGCCTTGAGTGAAAACGTTCAATAGCTAGTAGTAATCATCGTGATCATACCGGGCTTTACAAATACACCAGATAATGCCTGCTGTTGTTTCTCATCTGACGTCATTTCAGCAAAGCTGGTAAAAAGAAAATCCTAGGCAGGCAGGCGTCTGGAAGGATCTAAACAGTAATCAACACGGAACCTACATTGACTTCAGAATAAACTTTCCAGCTTTGGTATTACCATTTCCCTAGTTTGTTAGGGTTACATTTCACATGGAGTATGGTCACTACTACGAGTATCAAAACCAAAAGAGAACCCTGCATTGTGGAGTGTAGCGGTCACGTTATGTATTTTATATCACAGCCACTAGTATGGGATTCGAAACACTTAGCAGTTGTCCACTCTCTGTGCTCAAGTGGGGGTATTTTTTCTTATTGATTTTCTTGTCCTTAGAAATAAGTTCCTTTCAGACTTGCATCAACTGTGCTATCTTTTTATTTCAAGTACAACATGTTGGAAATGATTCCGCCCGCGACCCCTCCTGTCTGTTGGTGGAAGTAAGTGTAACTAGCATCAAGTCCCGCGCTGTGATTGGCTACCCAAGCGGGCAAGACGGCGCTATCTTGCCCGTGTCCCTCGAGAGAAATTTGTTCCTCATCCCATACAATAAATCCTTTATTGACCTAGCGTGCGGTCAAGATGGCGGGATATTGGCCTCGTTCTGTTTTTGGGTGCTTATGGACCTCGATTACAGTCGGTCCATAAACACGCAAAAGAAGACCTGGCCAATATCCAGCCATCTTGACCTCACGCTTGGTCAATAACCCATATGTACATACTGGCGAGTAAGCTACAAAAGTTAAATTATTTTATTCCATTATATTGTGGAGTTGGTCGTGGACATCCATACTTAAGCTGTATATTGCTCTTTTAACTTTCTTCGCCGGACGAAAACGTGACCTGTAATAGTTGGAACATTTTTCTGGTTACCGGTATATTGGGTATTTCGCCCTTTCCGACTTTCTTATTGATGCGGCACTAGGTTTCGTTTGATTTCATTCGGTTTTATTTTCAATCAAGCGTGTTCAAAATTATAATTTTGACTGCCTGTGTCGTTTATAGATCGATTCCTAGCATTATGGTACAAACAATGTAAAATATAGGCATAATGGCTTGTTAACTGAAAAATGGATTCGATTTGTAGACTTTCTGGTGTCAGAATAAGGAAGCAAAGATGGTACTGGTGAAAATGGCTGTCTCAAAAATTAATTGACTCGATCACTCAAGAAACTATAAATCTTGAGCCACAATATAACCAATGCACTATAGATCTTGCCGATAAGGATATTGAGTTCTAACAACAGAAAAGCATGCAAAAAGAACCTGGAAAAGTCTGCGTACAACACCTTTTAAATTTCTAAACTGAGATTTTCAATCGGCCCTCTTTCTGGCACATGTACAGGATCGGATCGCCCTAAAAATACTTCATCGGCTCTCACAGTGCCTCTCAGCTCGGCACCCAAGAATGTATCAATACAAGTGTGGGTATATAGGTATAAATTTAGGAAAAATACTTGCTGGCGGTAATCTGCTGCAAACTAGCTTGCATCCTATCCAGGCGAATTGTAATCAGACTCTCTTAGTAGTCATCTTGTTGGACGGCCAGTGAATGAACTATATGGCTTCCCCGATTTCTTATTATGTTCGAGCGGTTCTCGGCCTCAGTCAAGTTGAAGACTGTATTCCATCTTGCAGGAATCTTGTGGCAAAGTCCTTCGAATGTAAATTTTGATCTTGAAAGATTTCCTGAGTGTTCAGGCTACCTTCTTTGACATCCACTCCGCCAATCAACCTATACAGTAAGAGCCCAATGACAGCAAAATCATCTGCTCTGACAGGCAGGCTGACCGAAGCACGCCTGCCTTGTCGTTCATTCTTTTCCCAGTAGATCGGACTAATTTTTTGTTCATTCAACGCCAGAATAATAAGAATAACAAACATTTCTCCCCTCTTTCCATTGGCAATCCTATCTTCCGCTTAATCTCATTCGTCGTTGAGACAACCAGCAAAAGCAGTGCGCCATTTTTCTCGTTGTCAAACTGAACTAACGCGCAAAACTTTTAAGCAAGTCGCAGAAACAAAACTAAACGGTATAACTCGTTAGGTGTTCGCAAATTTAAGTTTGATCCTTGATATTATAATTAAAAATTGCTTCTTAACCAGACGTTTAACCACAAAAAAACTGAGAACAAAATAGACGACCACGGTAAATCGACGTGTTTACCAATCGTATAGCGCACACCGCAAATCTCTCGCGCCGCACGGCCAGCTGGGAACTGGAATTTTGGCTTTTTATTTCTCGAACTTACAACTGAATAAATACAACTAGAATGCAGTTCTTAACAGCTAAGAGCATTTTTTTTTTTGACATGAATCAATTTAACAGTCAGACGATGCGTGCTCCACATGCGTTTTACAGGGTTTCTCACGATCAGTTTAGTAGGAGAGGAAGGTTGCGTGAGCAGCTGGCCCAAAGCTGTTCACTAGAATGATTGTTTACAAAAATATTCTCAGCTGCGAACACCCTGGAAGCATACAGTTTTAAATTATTTTCTCCAAGCAACGACACCCACGCGGTCCCCTCGCACAACAAACCCACGGCCAAAAATATTAATTCTTTTGAACAATATCTCCAATATCACTCACAACACAGATAACAACAGCAGAGGTCTCCTTGATATAGAGATCCGCTCTCTTGCGGCCTGCGTGGGAGGTCCATTGTTTACAACATAGTAAGTTGCCAAGGAGATTTCTGAAGACAAGTTTCTCAAGACAAGTTAAGTTTTAATTTTTTTTTCTTACTTTCTAAGTATCAATCAAGGAGAAATACTTATTTTCAACCAGTATTTAACACACTTTCACTCCATTCTATGTCACTGGCTGTGTCGCGTATGAAAACGTAAATTACTCAAACCCACACAAGACACTCCAAAAATATTGGCCGACATATAATTAGCATTTTGTGTTATGCCCACGGCGTGGAAGATGATTTTTATGAACGGATATTGCATTTATCATTTATCTACTTGATGAAAAATTTCTAACCTTGCGATAATAGGACTAAAAGTTATTTTGTGAATTAAAAAAAAATAACGAACTTACATACATCTGGTCACGTGATTGGCCGGGCCTTTTAACTGAGTGTAACGACATTGTTAAAGATTAATTCCTTTCGTTTATTGCATTTAAATTTTTTTTTCTCATGGAACATAAAATCTTGCGGTTGCACCCAAGAAGGAGTTAAGTTATTCTCTTGGAAATGAAACAATCAGACCTTTTAACTAAAAAGCGTCATATTTTTCCTCTTTTTTGACTCCGACTAGTGCCAGTCACTCTCCAAGTTTTGATAATCCTCTTTCAAGACAGAATACCAACCACTGATTTAAAGTAGCAGTGACTAAGATGTAGTTGTTTTGTGTTTTAACTTATCCAGTTGACGATTTAAATACAGTCGTCGTCGGCAGCCGTTCGTCTCGGGAGACGATGGTGTAGCGCTATGTCGATGCGGAGCATCGTCTCGAGTGGCTATAGAGTCCCACTCTGGAGTGGCAGTCTCTGTTGCAAATAACGCAGACGAAGGAGGATGGTGCTGCAATTGAGGCKGCCCTGGWCTTCRTTCTGGTTCTTTTCAAGGCCTGCTGGTCATTTCTGGTATTCTCAGCCCTCCCGACTCCTGAAGATACTGCATGTCGCCAGGCCACTCTGATGTCAGCTACTTCTTCCCATGTGTTTGGATCAATCTCTGCTTTCTTCATGTCTCGCTTGCAAACATCCTTGAATACAGTATCGCTTAGAATAAAGTGCAAGTGGAAAGGGCCAAATATAGTAAACTAAATAAGTCTTTTAATACGATACATTTATTGTAGGATAAAAATAAAACTGAGTTTAGGAATGGAAAGAGTAAACACTGCAAACAAATATTATATGTTACACTCATTAATAATGAGCAAAATAAAACAGGTAAAGTGCGTTTTAAAATAGTTTTCTAGTTGGCTTGTTACGTATCGATAAAGGTATGTCGTTCATATAATAGCATCCAAAAATAGTTGGTGTTGTGAGGATGCACTTCGAGTAGCGTAATTATGTTACTCAGATAATAGAGACAGGATGAGATTAGAAGACTTTTTATCAATTAGGTGATCATAAAATAGTTGACAGGTGCATAATGTCAGGAAGCTTAAAGGAACTAGGTCAGGCAATTTTAGGCAATTTCGGCACCGATCATAGAATTAACTAAAATATCACAAAAACGGCTCAAAACTCTAGAAGATCTCACAAAATACAGGAAAGCCAAGAAGAGACATGGATGGACAAAACTGGAGAGGATTAAAATTCATTGCACTTGCGTAAATTTGAAAAACGTCGGCCCACCTTTTTTCAAATTTATATCAGTTTATAAAATGTCATGTACACAGCTGGAAAATCATTCTCAGTTGCTATGTGGCCGTGATTATGCAAATGAAAGACTCTTGCTCCGCCAATTTGACGTTTAGAGCTTATAATTAACAAAATTAAAAAAAATTACCTAAAATAGCGTGACCTAGCCCCTTTAATGAGGCCAAGGTTTACATATTGGGGAGTGATATGATCACGAAGCGGCACATTGTTGATGAACCTAGCAACTTTGTTTTGTAGTCTTACCAATACTTAGTTCAGCAGTTAATCACGAAGTTGATCAGTTGATCAGCAGTTGATCAGTTGATCGCGAAGAACGAGTGGTAAAAACGCGAGGGGTTTGGGACTTTCTTCCCCAGATCCTCCCCGTTTTCAAGCTGGAACAAGCTACTTTTGTCTGCTCAGTGACCCGGCCCTTGAATGGCAGCGAGGCTGGAGGTGACCTAGTTTTGATACAGATCTCACTGCTTTTGTTGTATAAATCAAGTTGTTTTAATGCTGACTACTTTGCATTTAATGAGAAAAGCAGAGAGGTTTGTATCAAGGCAAGGTCACCTCCTTGCCTAGTTCCTAAGCCTGAATATTTCGTCAATTGTTTCGGGTCACATGGTCCGGCGCGAAACCGTTCGTTTCGGATACGTTACTGAAATCAGTTGACCGTGAAGACCTGAGAGAAAGCCGTACAGGGCAAGTCACCTTCAGCCTCGCTTGCATTCACAGGCCAGGTAACTGAGCACACAACTGCAAAATGGCCTACTCGGGGCCTACTCTACAAAGCCCAACGCTGCCTGGCCGACTGCAAAAGCGATAACCGTGCTGCCTGGAGAAATAAGTACCAGGTCAAGGACATGCATTTGAGTTTTGGGCGAAACGAAACGAAACCATCATGGTTGAAGGATAGCACAGTGTACCGTAACAACAACAACAACAACAACAACAACAACAACAACAACAACAACAACAACAACAACAACCGCTATTCATTACCGGTGCACAGTGACTACGTTTATTCATTTACTCCCAAAAAGGCAACTTTAAAAACATTAACAAATTCAATTGAGTACAACCGTCCATATTTTTAGCACGCCTCCCAAGCCCTAAATAAACTATGTACATATCACAGTTTGTTACAAGTACAATAAATAGCATACAACAAAAACGTAAAATGGTAGACTTGGATAACTAAATACTTCCATAGTCATACTAACTAAATTAAAAAAAAATCGATTTGCTATAGCACCGATTATCATTATATAACCGTGGAAAAGCAGAAAACATTTGTTCTTTTATTTGAAGGGCTATATTAAGTTGGTTGTACTTATACAAGGAATTCTTCCTTCTAAATTGACGTTTGCGTGACAGCTCAGGCTCGTCACGCCAGCGCCTGACAGGAACAAATTGTAATCACAAAAATGAATTTTGCTTTAGCCTACAGCGACTACAGTGCAATAAAGGTATCGATATGGTTAAGCTTGTGAAAGGTCAGAATACACGTACATAAAAGGACTAAAGTTCCATACTTTGTTTTCACAGTAGCCTCTGATTACTAGCGCCTATGTGCCTTACGGTACTCCAACCATTGATTTTGGGGTTAAGCTTGTGAAAGGTCATGATACACGTACATAAAAAGCCTAAAGTTTCGTACTTTGTTTTCACAGTAGCCTCCGATTAGTAGCGCCTGTGTGCCTTACGGTACTCCAAACATTGATTTTAGACCATACAGCTGATACTAAAAAGAGATTAAGCTTATTATTTGTATTATATTAAATACGTTGTGCAATCAGCGAATTACATGAATAAAAGAAGGGCTTCGGGCTTTGCTTTGTTCAATCTAGCTTTGAAGTAAACCAATATGTTTTTTTCCCCTGAAATGCTTAAATTATCGTGTACCAAAGTACATGATCTACTTGGTATAACCAACTTTAAAGTCAAGATGTTCTTTTGAAACACTTTGTTTACGTTCTGTTCATACGTATCTCGTCACCTTGTACCGAGGAATGTTGAAAACATTTGCCCTGGTCACATTGTGCCGGCAATGCGATCCAAGAACCTTGAAAATTTCAACCCTTGTCACCAGTGATTAATCTGTAACTTCTCTCAATTATTTTTATACCAAATTCATCCGACAGCTTATAAGAATCAAGGCCTTGACCGTGTCAGGGGAATCATCTCGACCCAATACCAATCTTGGATGGAAAATATAAGAAAATGATATTGAACCGTTAGGATCAATCAAGGCCTTCCAGGGAGGGTTTTTTTGTGCACTAAATTATGTCCCCTCCACACGTACTTCAACTCTTGACTAAACAAAACAAAGTGAAGTAACTTATGGAAATCATCATTCTGCTAATATGGAAAAAAAAGCAGGAGGTAAGCAGCTTGGCCAAACGGTTGTGGCGCTGGTTTTAGAACCTGGAGTTCTCGGGTTCAAGCCCGCCATCTTTCCGCTTACTCGATTTGTCCTTGGTAGTGACGAGTTGAAGTAACTGGCCATACCATGTACACAGCATGCAACTGGTTAGCCTCCTGTCAGTTAGGACTCTTAACTATATTGCGTTTGAAACAATAGCTTCGTACACACAGCATTAAAGCTACAAACTGTGTACAAACAGTCTTTTTCATCTTTTGAAACAATAAATGTACTCATTTTTCAAAGGATTGCGTCTTTCATAAAGTAACGACCCGTCATAAGCAATTGTTGTGATATTAAAAGCTGATTGCACCTAAAGAACCCAAAACAAACAAATAAACAACAACAACAACAACAACAAAAAACAACAAAAAAAAAGATTACCATTAAAGGAGCTATGCCGCAAGACCTCAAGTCATTTTTTTCCTGTTGTACAAAATTACTTTCAAATTGACACAAATCTCCAAATAACACCTTTTCAAAGTAGAAAAACACAAAAGAAAAGTATTAAACCGAAAATGAACAAGAATCGTTACAATTAACGAAACTAAGGCAAGTTGAAAAAGTTGGCCAATTTTTTCCAAGATTCGCTGTTCAAGACATAGCTCCTTTAAAACTATTCATTCTCAATACAATTCCGCCATGGCGGATGTGCAAATCAGGGCTATGCCTAGCTTATGCAACCTCCGGACCGAAGTCCTCGTACAAGGGATCATGCATTGATATGTCGTTGTAGTAAGCAGCTCGCAGGCGAGAGCGGTGATGATATTTCTTCCAGTACACTCCAGCAGCCAGCACGATCAGGATGGCAAACACAGAAGCTGCGCAGATACCAATGATGGCAGCAGTGGACAACTTCTTAGAGTCATCTGTGAGACAAAGAAGGAAAACAGAGTCTTTGGGCGCTTTCCATACAAGAAAAAATCCCGGTTTGAATTTCCAGAAATTCCAGCGACGAATGGAACAGCATGTTCCGGAATCTACGTAAAAGGGGACAACCTCGCGAGGTATACCGAAATTTTCGGAAATTTCTTACTGGGAACTACCGTTCCATTTGACTCCCGGAATTTCCGCAATTCTCGGTTGAATGGTTCGCTTTTCGGAAACTCAACAATTTCCGGATTTTCATAAAACTTTCCCAGGAAATTTCCGTACCATTCTTCCGGAGTTCCCCATTTCGAAATTTTCGGAATTTTTTGTTGAATGGAAAGTGCCCTTTGTTTCTTAAGCCACCAATTTGCCACGCCCCGTTTTTTTTTCAGATTGAGTAACGTTATTCAGCGGATTCAGTTACTATCTCCGGTGAATAGAGAAAAGAGCCTTTGTCATACTATTTTCCGTTGTATTTTCTATCGTCATTTTCTTATCTCATCACTTGTGAATATTTTTATTTTATCATCTATAAATGTTGCTATTAAACTGTAAAAAATGGAGGAGTAACAGCAGTAATCCATCAATAACGACACGATCCCTTCAACAACTAGGGCTGAGAGATCAAGTCGCCAAAGGAAGGGTAGAAAACAACAACAACAAGCCACCATAATGTACCTTTGGGATGTTTTCCTTTACGAGCACCAATGCTACCAGTAGGTGGGTAACCTGTTACAACAAAGAGAAAAAAAGAGAGCCTTGGTTAGCTATTGTTGTTATAGTGAAACTCCCGCGTAATTTAGACAACAGTGAACTGTCGCATCTTTCTGCAAGCTAGCAAATCAAACACCAAGTCGGGTCGGGAGGCATAGAAGTCCAAGGGCCGAAGTGTACTGCACGTGCAGTTGCTGCAGAGTGATCACACTGGTGGAGACATTTGAAAACTAATAGAAATATAACAATGATGACAAAAATAAAACCGAAATCATACAGGCAATCATGCAAACATTGTGGCATAGAGCAGTTTTCAATTGAGTGTATAAAATAATCAGGCAATATTACTTTGGTTCTGATTTTGGTTTTAGTACGGTTTGGGATTGGCTGAATAGTCGAATTGGTAATTTATTTCTTCCTACTGGGTTATGCTGGATATCCAGTGAGGACGGAAGTAAAACCTAGCAATTTAAATGTAATTCTTCACTGTTCCCTTCACTGGTAGCAAATCAGCCCTTATTGTAGTATGCTTTAAGTTAGCTGAGTGCTGACCAGTGGCAAAGTCAATCATTTAATGGCTGCCACATATTGAAAATGCTTGTAAAAGGCTTTATACATTGAATGAGCAGATAATATGGCAGACTCTACTAAGGGTCTACATATACTCAAGATGTAAACAAAAATACGGTAACAAACCTGTAGAATGTCCTTCAGGCATGGGTTCTGCTGAGGAATAATATTAATAATTAAAGACACCTTGTCAACTCAAATGACCACGCATACGTTAGTCTAATTGTGTGTTTTCAAGCATTTCGACCATTTTATGTAAATTAGGTTATCTAAACATCGATATTCTCCAGCGCCCTGAGATATTTACTTGTTTTTCTAAAACAGCTCATCAAACTGAGTTGACTTTGCTTTGCCTTGTAATTGTAAAGTGTGTACCTATAACATCATGAACTAGTCTGGGCAGACTGTGTAGGGTTGATAAGTAACGTTCATGCACAAAGATAAATGAGTCTGCTCTTGGTTTAAGTGTTCCACAGCATTGGAGCGTATCTCCGTTTCTGTATCATGAAGTAGCTAGGAGTATTTCTACTCTCCCTGGATGGGATGATAGTTCATTGCGGGGTTACCCCCAGCATTAAATTTGCCAGTACCCATTTATACACCTGGGTGGAGAGAGGCACTGTGAGAGTAAAGTGCCTTGCCCAAGAACACAAC